CGCATATCACATAGGACCAGATTTTTCTAACAGAAAACGTTTTATAATTCAATGCTATAGTTTGTTGTGCAAAGGAAGCGCGTGCTTTGATCGGCGTGGATATTGAATGAGTGAAAATTCTCTTGCAAAATTGTGAAAAACTGCAGAATTATAGGTTTAAATAGGACAAAAAAGAACAAATTCTGTCCGAGGTCTGTGTACTGTTTACCTGAGACGTGATGAGAAAAAGTATGTTTAAAAGGCTGGTTTACACGCCACCAGATTCGTCGCCAAGATTTACTGATTTTTATTTTGGCCTCTCTTTTAGACAGAGGAATGCAACGTGTAAATTGGCTGCCACCAAGGACTATCGTGGCGCATGTGTTTCTTAAAATTATATTTCGGGGTTGTCCAATTATCCATAGTCTCTCTAACGGAGCAATGTTGGAGAGACTGGTGAATGCCACATTATGATGCTACAGCTAATGCAAATACAATACACGAATAGGTCTATTTGTTTTCCAGGCCTAATCTACTGTGATCGAACATGAGTGCTATTTTTCGGTGTACAAATAACTTGATGTAAAATTTGTTTCACTCTTGGACGGTCAAATTCTGATTTTTCTGTAAAATCACTCATTCTTTGCCTCAAAAGTCAAATGAATGTGCCCTGATCTGTGGATTACAAGTTTATTGTTTGATTTAAATTATAAATTTATCAACGGGAGCTTCGCTTTTAGCCCTGGCTAAATCTATATATTACAATATACCATTAGAACTTCTGCTAACGGCCACCTCTTTACAACGGCCACTAAAACGCGTCCCCAACTACCAAAATAACCTCTCGACAACGGTTAGCGACTGACAAAAATGGAATGGCCTCGAAATTTGATCCGTACGACGCGTCGATGATTAATCGCGGCAAGTCTTTCCTATTCTCCGTTTGCACCGTCACGCAATGAAAAATAAAAATGCAAACCATTCAATACAGAAGGTCTAGAATCTAGGAAATGAAAGAAGATAAATATACAAGAAGCCTTGCCAAGAGTCAGGTCTGCGCAATATTTCAAATGCGAGATGTTCGGAAAAACGGTTTACCTAAATTTATAAAGCTTTGTGTGAAGACGCCATGTTGGTGTCCCTTTCAAGGACACCAATATGGCTGCAGGATACAAACAGAAACATCTGTTTTCGAGTTTTCTTCTAATGCGTGAGTTCTTCGCTTGAGGAACTCACAAAGATTAAAGTAATATTTATTCTGAGACAAGGAATGTTTAGATAGCAAAATCTCCCAAAATCGGTAATGTTTTTAACCCACAAAAGAGCTTCCCGACCGCCCGCTAAATGCCGCGTCATGCAATAGCCTGGAAATTCAAGCGTCCTCTCTCGCAAAACGAAGAACCCTTTCGAACCAAAAATTTGTTAATGTAAAGGTGTTTAGGTACTGTAATACCTCGTGAAAGTAGAAACTCAGAAGAATCGATAGTTACGAAGTTTGATTTTTGGTGACGTCACGTGCAAACCAAGAATTATTTTTGGTAAGGATTTAACGCGCGAGAAAGTCACCTTCCGCGCGGAAACGCGCCTCGAGGGAAATGAAAATGGACAAACATTACGTTTGCCGTATCCATTTAAAGATATACTAATCTTCATTGTGTTCAATTTGTATTTAGCAGTAACCATAAATTGTCTACGTTGCGAACCTTGGGTCGTTTTGTCTTGTCAACAATTTGTTTCAAGACATTATTTAATTCAAATTAGATTGTTTATGATCGGATTACCATTAGACAACAGTAAACATGAACTTAGGACAAAAAAACATATGTCATATTCTACCTTCCCATAACGACCACGTCTCCACAACGTGCACTTTCAGGTTCAACTGGAGGGCGATTAAGTTTGAATCTTTATTCATTACTTCAAAGCAAATTAGAGGCGCTTAAGGGGCGTATGTCTGAGTCATAGAACTAAACCAGGTTAAATATATACCAACCACCACGATGCATGTAGCCTCGTTTTGAAACTGACAGTTTTTGGAACTTGGAAATGCCAACGTCTGTCGTACAGCTATGTCAAACCCTTTAGTCTAACGCCCAACGGTAGTAGTTATGAAATGATGAATATATGAATTTCATATATTGTAACTGCGGATTGAAGCAATAAATCCCAGCAAGCCTGAAAAAGTTCAGGCTTGCTGCAATGCGAACCATGACCTCTACCATACTGGTGCAGCGCTTTTCGCGGGCATACGTTGCGTCTTTAACAGGAACGATCTGGCATTTATTTCCGCATTCTGGGGGTCCAATATAGGAAAATTCATGTATTTGTCATTTCATCTTCATCTTTCCCGGGTATAATACGAACAAATTTAATGATCAGCTCCCAGTTACGTGGCTTGCCGTCGCAAAATGGTTAGACCCCTGCATCGGTATCGCAGTCAGGGTTAATCCCGGCAAGCCCCCGATTTTTTTCAGGCTTTTTTAAGCAACTGCATAAGTTGAGACTGTAACTATGCATTTGTTATATCTATGCAACTGGCCTTAGATCAGCACCTAGTAGTACCGGAAGAGGCGTCATTTTTTATGAACATGGGTCCAGTGTAAAAATTTGATAAATTACTCTCACCCCGCCCGCCGCCCCTGAATAAGCTTGAATACATCCTGGTCGTCATCAATTCTTGCGTCTCACCAGGAGCCCATCAATGCGTTAGAATTAAGTAAATATTGGGAGTTGAACCACAAATTGACGATAAAGTTTTTAAATTAATCTGAATCGAAGCTGGTGGCGTTATAAAAATAAATTTATAGTGAATTATGCATCTTTCATTAGTTGAGGCATATTGTCGGTCTCTGCGATGTCAGAGGAAACCGCTTTTATTAGTTTTTTCCTTCAAGAAGCACAATATCATTGCAAAAATATGTACATAAATTTTATTTTTTTTAAATGCATGCATAAATTATGCAAAATTTATCTGCATGAAATCTTTTGCCGGGTAAAACTTCATGCTTTTCTACAAAGAGGGTCTCAATGGGGTTAACCGATAGGCGTAAAACGGCCAAAAATTTAGCCGATAGCCGTAAAAATTGAAAAATTTTAACCGTTAGCCGTAATTAGGGTAAAAAAGAGTTAACCGTAAAAGAAAGTGTTCCCTAGATTTGCTACTTTTAAGGAAGGTACTAAACTCACTTATGGTTGCGTTTTTTATTTCCCAGCTAGTGTGACTCCATACGCACGTTAGGCGAAGCGCCTTTTAGGAGTTAACCTAGACCTAGGCTCCATTTCCGGCGCTCTCTCTGGGAACTAACTAGCGAAAGTGTGGCTTCTTGTTGGGGATTAATATTTGCAATTTTCCGGAGGTCGTGCCCTCGAAACACTAGTGAAACAACACGCAGAGATGTCACTGTTTGTAAAACTCGTTGCCGATAAGCAACATTTCCCTGTTTTTCTCTGACGCTACGGTAGACATTGCCATGCCTAGTCCCTGTACGGCGTCTACCCACGCAGTTTCGGTCAAGGCATTTCGGTGGTGAACTCGCTCGGACCACGTGACCCGAAACGCATTAGCCGTGCGGAATAATGCAGCCTACGGACAAGGCAACGGCAGACAATCGTTCCGTAGTCCTTCGCTATCATTAAAAACACTGGACACGGGAATTTTGTTATTGGCCTTTTTGACACTATAGCTAGAAATGGATCATCCGTCTGAGACTAGCCTGTGTCTAGTCGCGTCCTCTCCACAGACACCCCTTCTCCGATTTTTTCTGAGGGGAGGGGGCGGCTGTACACAGGCTATCTGGAACGGATAATCCCGTCTTCAAAAGTCAGGCAGATTGTTCATTCCAAATTAAAACTATTCCATTTTCAAATTAAGACATATTACCTATCTGACGCGAATCATCAAACGGATAACCCGTCTCACACGAATAATCCTTCTCTAGTGTGAAAACGGCCATTTCTGTTTTAATGAATGTCGCGCCCCGGCTTTGATTTGGCGTTCGTGTGTCAATTGGCTATTGACATTACTATGTGTAAAATAATATTAGAAGTGAAATACTTTATAAAAGAATAGCTTATTTCATCCCGAGATGATCCGAAGACCCTTATTCAAAAAAATACAGGTTGATTAATATTTAACTCTTTGAAACAAAAGAAGTTAATTTTTAACTTTTTCGTTAACCGTAACTGAAAAAAATTAACCGATAGCCGTAAAAGAGCCAAAATTTTAGCCGATAACCGTAAAAGCCACCACCCCATTGAGACCCTCTTCTATATGATTTGCCTACCAGGGCGAGGGGTATTTAAAACTGCAGCGGCAAATCCTGGCAATGTATTTAACAATTAATGAATGAGGTTGAGTATCCTATGAAGGATTATGGAGATCGAGGAGTGTGTTATCCGTCGAGGCCGTAACACCCTCCTCGATCTCCATAATCCTTCATAAGATACTGAGCCTCATTCATTAATTGTTAATTATTATTCATTCAAAATAATTCCTAGTTTAAAAACATAGCTAAAACATGCTTACCGTCATCGATGTTAAGTTCATCTTCGATAGTGCACGTTTAGGGTTGTTCAGCTCCGCAAATATTCTCTAAATAGCAGATGTCGCCCTTCAAATTGTCTTCTTGCTGTTCTTGCCATGTTTTTAGCTATTATTTCGCCTGGTTCTTACTCTTGAAGCGAGTGAAATGTCCGTCATTTTTGCCTTTCACAACCAAAACAACTCAACTTCGTCCCCAGGTCTTCTCGGTTTTGACGTCATTGGTTGATTAATCGCAAAATTCTTCCAAATTTTGTCATCAGTGGCTGCTTATGGTAAATTATGCGAATGCTTTTAGCCAATCACAATCGGGGAAATATTTTGAATGAATAATAATATGTGTTATCCATAGTAAATGTATTATATTTCAATGGCCAATAAATAACTACTTTGTATCCTAAAATACAGAATGGTGTAATGGTTAGATCTTTTTATATCTGGAGAGCGAGTTTATTGAAAACATCACGAGCATTTGTTTACCTTGTGTTTGATTAGCCAACTTGTTGCGGACTTTCTCGTACTCTTGTTCGTTGATGGTTACGACCGCTTCCACATGTTCCCCGCTAGCAAGTTCTATGATCATTTCTTCTGTGACCAACAAGGCTTGCAAAGTTGCTTTCAGTGTCCCATCGTTGTATAAACGCCACAGAGTTTCAAGAGCTGCAAGACTCTCTACTTGGACTTTTAGACACACACAGCCCTCTGTTATTTGAATCAGATTGGCGCCAGCAGGCAGCACACAGGTAACGGCAGTGATGAGCTGATCGTACGAGGAGTTACGAATCAACAAGTCAAGAGGGTCTCGATGGGGTTAACCGATAGGCGTAAAACGGCCAAAAATTTAGCCGATAACCGTAAAAATTAAAAAAAATTAACCGTTAGCCGTAAATGGCGTAAAAAAGAGTTAACCGTAAAAGAAAGTGTTCCCTAGATTTGCTACTTTTAAGGAAGGTACTAAACTCACTTATGATTGCGTTTTTTATTTCCCGGCTAGTGTGACTCAGTACGCACGTTAGGCGAAGCGCCTTTTAGGTGCTAACCAAGACCTAGGCTCCATTTCCGGCGCTTTCTTGGGGAACTAATTTTTTCCATAGCGAAAGTGTGGCTTCTTGCTGGGGATTAATATTTGCAATTTTCAGGAGGCCGTGCCCTCAAAACACTAGTGAAACAACACGCAGAGATGTCACTGCTTGTAAAACATGTTGCCGATAAACAACATTTCCCTGTTTTTCTCGGACGCTACGGTAGACATCGCCATGCCTAGTCCCTGTTCGGCGTCTTACCACGCAATCTCGGTCAAGGCATTTCAGTGGCGAACTCGCTCGGACCATATGACCCGAAAGGCATCAGCCGCGCGGAAAAATGCGGCCTACGGACAAGGCAATGGCAAGACAGTCGTTCCGTACAGTCCTTCGCTATCATTAAAAACATTGAACACGGGAATTTTGCTATTGGCCGTTTTCACACTAGACCTAGAATTGGATCATCCGTCTGAGACTAGCCTGTGTACAGTCGCTTCCTCCCCACAGACACCCCTTCTCCGATTTTTTTCTGAGGGGAGGGGGCGTCTGTACACAGGCTATCTGGAACGGATAATCCTGTCCTCAAAAGTCAGGCGGATTGTTTATTCAAAATTAAAACTATTCCATTGCCAAATTAAGACGCATCACCTATCTGACGCGAATCATCAAACGGATAACCCGTCTCACACGAGTAATCCTTCTCTAGGGTGAAAACGGCCATTTCTGTTATAATGAATGTCGCGCCCCGGCCTTGAGTTGGGCGTTCGCGTGTCTGCTTTTGCTTTTTCACAAAGATTATTTTTAAATTGACTATTGACATTTCTATGTGTAAAATAATATCAGAAGTCCAATACTTTATAAAAAGTATGATGTATCAAATGTTAAAATGTTTCAAAAGAATAGCTTATTTCATCCCGAGATGATCCGAAGACCTTTATTTTGATTTAAAGATACAAAAAAGTACAGGTTAATTAATATTTAACTTTTTGAAACAAAAGAAGTTAATTTTTAACTTTTTCGTTATCCGTAACTGAAAAAAATTAACCGATAGCCGTAAAAGAGCCAAAATTTTAGCCGATAACCGTAAAAGCCACCACCCCATTGAGACCCTCTTCTATATGATTTGCCTACCAGGGCGAGGGGTATTTAAAACTGCAGCGGCAAATCCTGGCAATGTATTTAACAATTAATGAATGAGGTTGAGTATCCTATGAAGGATTATGGAGATCGAGGAGTGTGTTATCCGTCGAGGCCGTAACACCCTCCTCGATCTCCATAATCCTTCATAAGATACTGAGCCTCATTCATTAATTGTTAATTATTATTCATTCAAAATAATTCCTAGTTTAAAAACATAGCTAAAACATGCTTACCGTCATCGATGTTAAGTTCATCTTCGATAGTGCACGTTTAGGGTTGTTCAGCTCCGCAAATATTCTCTAAATAGCAGATGTCGCCCTTCAAATTGTCTTCTTGCTGTTCTTGCCATGTTTTTAGCTATTATTTCGCCTGGTTCTTACTCTTGAAGCGAGTGAAATGTCCGTCATTTTTGCCTTTCACAACCAAAACAACTCAACTTCGTCCCCAGGTCTTCTCGGTTTTGACGTCATTGGTTGATTAATCGCAAAATTCTTCCAAATTTTGTCATCAGTGGCTGCTTATGGTAAATTATGCGAATGCTTTTAGCCAATCACAATCGGGGAAATATTTTGAATGAATAATAATATGTGTTATCCATAGTAAATGTATTATATTTCAATGGCCAATAAATAACTACTTTGTATCCTAAAATACAGAATGGTGTAATGGTTAGATCTTTTTATATCTGGAGAGCGAGTTTATTGAAAACATCACGAGCATTTGTTTACCTTGTGTTTGATTAGCCAACTTGTTGCGGACTTTCTCGTACTCTTGTTCGTTGATGGTTACGACCGCTTCCACATGTTCCCCGCTAGCAAGTTCTATGATCATTTCTTCTGTGACCAACAAGGCTTGCAAAGTTGCTTTCAGTGTCCCATCGTTGTATAAACGCCACAGAGTTTCAAGAGCTGCAAGACTCTCTACTTGGACTTTTAGACACACACAGCCCTCTGTTATTTGAATCAGATTGGCGCCAGCAGGCAGCACACAGGTAACGGCAGTGATGAGCTGATCGTACGAGGAGTTACGAATCAACAAGTCAAGAGGGTCTCGATGGGGTTAACCGATAGGCGTAAAACGGCCAAAAATTTAGCCGATAACCGTAAAAATTAAAAAAAATTAACCGTTAGCCGTAAATGGCGTAAAAAAGAGTTAACCGTAAAAGAAAGTGTTCCCTAGATTTGCTACTTTTAAGGAAGGTACTAAACTCACTTATGATTGCGTTTTTTATTTCCCGGCTAGTGTGACTCAGTACGCACGTTAGGCGAAGCGCCTTTTAGGTGCTAACCAAGACCTAGGCTCCATTTCCGGCGCTTTCTTGGGGAACTAATTTTTTCCATAGCGAAAGTGTGGCTTCTTGCTGGGGATTAATATTTGCAATTTTCAGGAGGCCGTGCCCTCAAAACACTAGTGAAACAACACGCAGAGATGTCACTGCTTGTAAAACATGTTGCCGATAAACAACATTTCCCTGTTTTTCTCGGACGCTACGGTAGACATCGCCATGCCTAGTCCCTGTTCGGCGTCTTACCACGCAATCTCGGTCAAGGCATTTCAGTGGCGAACTCGCTCGGACCACATGACCCGAAAGGCATCAGCCGCGCGGAAAAATGCGGCCTACGGACAAGGCAATGGCAAGACAGTCATTCCGTACAGTCCTTCGCTATCATTAAAAACATTGAACACGGGAATTTTGTTATTGGCCGTTTTCACACTAGACCTAGAAATGGATCATCCGTCTGAGACTAGCCTGTGTACAGTCGCTTCCTCCCCACAGACACCCCTTCTCCGACTTTTTTCTGAGGGGAGGGGGCCTCTGTACACAGGCTATCTGGAACGGATAATCCTGTCCTCAAAAGTCAGGCGGATTGTTTATTCAAAATTAAAACTATTCCATTGCCAAATTAAGACGCATCACCTATCTGACGCGAATCATCAAACGGATAACCCGTCTCACACGAGTAATCCTTCTCTAGGGTGAAAACGGCCATTTCTGTTATAATGAATGTCGCGCCCCGGCCTTGAGTTGGGCGTTCGCGTGTCTGCTTTTGCTTTTTCACAAAGATTATTTTTAAATTGACTATTGACATTTCTATGTGTAAAATAATATCAGAAGTCCAATACTTTATAAAAAGTATGATGTATCAAATGTTAAAATTTTTCAAAAGAATAGCTTATTTCATCCCGAGATGATCCGAAGACCTTTATTTTGATTTAAAGATACAAAAAAGTACAGGTTAATTAATATTTAACTTTTTGAAACAAAAAAAGTTAATTTTTAACTTTTTCGTTATCCGTAACTGAAAAAAATTAACCGATAGCCGTAAAAGAGCCAAAATTTTAGCCGATAACCGTAAAAGCCACCACCCCATTGAGACCCTCTACAAAGGGTAAAAGGGTATTTTCCTCTTTTTCTAAACGTTATTTTATATTTTTGCCCTTTCAAAAGGGATACAACAATAATTATTAGCTTCAGTCTATACCGCTGTAAAAACCTGCTGAGATATTATCGATCCCTTTCAATGTGGTGAATTTTCTACAATTTTCAAATTTACTTGACGCTTTACTTAATGCTTGTTTCAGTCAGACGGTTTTAGCTTTCAAAGTTGTTATAAACAACAGCTGGTAACGTTTTAAAGTTCCTGTTGATAAAACATAATTTTTGCTTCAGCTTCAAGCTTTCTCTACGGCTAAAACTCAGGATCAACATTCCTAATGCTGTATGATCTTTCAGGTATTTGAGACTTAAAAAACTATTTTCCATGAAACGAAAGGAATATCCTTAACTTACTTTACTTTTTCTTTGTTTTTTTTTCCTTTTTTTTATTTCATGAATGTCCGTCTGACATTAATTATAAGACTGGGAAGAAAGGAAGAATTGCTGCCGGTAAAAGTTGATCAGAGCTCATGATTGTAGTACAGTTGAAGGCAAATGGTTTATGCTAAACTTTAAAAGCAAAGTACAATAGGCATATAGCCTCTATATTAAAGAAAATGCAAAAAAAAAAAAAAAGGGGGGGGGAAAGGTATAAAGTTATATCGAGTTATGTTACTTATAAACAGTAGACCTCAACCTGATTGTAGTGTCAATGCCGTGTTCTTCAGTACTGAGCGCCAGCCCGGGTAAATTTCCTACACGGGCACATATAGAGAAGAGTCTCGAGCGCGAACTTCTACGGAAAGTGCAAATATGCACATGTAGTTGCTCAATTCTAGATCCTTGGTTTTAATTTAATTTTTTCTCTGTTTTTGAATGTTGTACTGAGTTAAGGGTTGAGACTGTCGCGTAATTTTTCCTTGCGAACGCGCGTATATGACAAAGAGGTAATGTATGAAAGGCCACGCGTAAAACGTGAAAGTTGAGCGAGGTTCAACTTTTAAGTTTACGCGTGACCTTTCATACATTGTCTCTATTTTATTTACGCCCTTAAAATTTAAGTGCGCACGCACGTAAAAATTATGCGACAGTGGAAATCCGCCTTTATCCGAGTCACTACATTACCGGCAAAAACACGGACAGGCTGGCTGTAAACAAAAAGAGAAGTTCAAATACCGAACTAGGCGCAGTATAACATAAGATTTCCGTCTTTGTACACTCATCTTGTGGGTTCATTCATTCGGCTTTATTTCCGCCGATCTCTCGTGTCTGGTCTTTTTCCATCCCGAGAAGAGAGCAAGAACAAGAAGTCTCTAAACCTTTGAATACTCAAACTAAGCTGAGTGCTCTGCATTGCAAAAGCGACGATTTCTATTTGAACAACAATGGTCCCAGCTGCAAAAAGTTTAGAAATAAATTTTATTTTCAAATAGCAACATAAACAAAACTGAATATTAAGATTTCAAATGAAAGTTTGATCACATTGTAAATTAATGTAAAGTTAAAAAACGGTGAATGTTTTTTATAGAACATCGCTGAAGAGAAAAGATGTCATCAATGCGTGAAAAAAACTGAAAATGGTGCATTACACGCCATTAATACACTTCGGTTAGCCAGTCAGCGCTCAGAGTCTTGCTCAGAATTATAAGACAACGAATTGCAAATAAAAGGACAAAAAAAAAAAAACAAAAAAATGAAATCAAACTAGGGGTAAAATTTCACCACATCAAGCCCTGATTATCAAAAAGAAAAAGCTGAAGACCGAGATGTTCGAAAAGAACGGGTGAAAACGCAGCGAAAACCAGCACAGTTACAACGGAAGTGAACACGCAACAATACAAGTCATGTGACCCGAAACAGATGCTGATGTTTATTTCTAGCGGACTGACTGTTATTTCATAATTGGTCTTTTTGCCACCTTTTGTATGTCATTTTAAGAATACACGTTGCCAGGGATACCATTACTAAATTAAAAAAGTTGTAATTTTATTCATCGCCAATTTCTTGTTTTCTTTAAAAATAATAATCATTGACCGAAGCAATTCCTTTTCGTGTTACTTTTTCTATTCCAGTAGTTTCCTTTTAAACCAAATAATGTGACTTCGTGTATAGTGCAACTGATGGCATATGACGTGATCTTCGCGCCAATTAGAGGTGTCATTAAATGTAGCCTGGGGATCATTTGAAAAGAAAATTATCTAAATTCATAAATATTTGCTGTCCGCCTTTCAGACGTTAAATGACTTGAGGGAGTGAATAGTGATGTCTATAAAATGCGAAAATTTAAGAGCGACGGTCAGGAAATATCGACCATCGAGTGGCAAGAGTTGAAAAATCAATTGTCTTCGATCGTAAAGTAAGAAGACGAAATATCTTCCTGTTCCGTCATCCTTAGCGAATTACCATTGTTAAAGTCCATATATTTCGATAAAAAGTGAGTACCAGCAAAAGCGCGTTTGACTTTTTCTTCTTCAAAATTTTGTCGGGATCGAAAATATTACTCTTTCAAGAATTGCGTTGCGTTACTACCGTGATTCCGTGACTGTCATTTTAACGGCTTCGTCTCTTCAAATGTACGTTATGTCACGTGCAGTCACGGAACAGATTGTCACGCAGAGTCGCCGTCTGGTAGGGTTCAGCGTTTCAAAATGGCTAAAATTGACCCAGTTTTACCTTTTCACCCCACTCTTTGATTGCAAAAAGTATAACAAAACGAGGCTTTAACGTGGGTGAAAGATCATGGAGATACCTCCAGCCGATTGCTAAAAAGAAGGATTTGATTAGTATGTATCAAGGCGCTCTTTTTAGCAGCAATGTAAACATTTCGGTCTACTTTAACAAATTAGCGAATAATTTTTAAACCGCTCGATAAATTTTTTAGAAAATTTAAGACTCTTGAGATTAACCGTCCTTTTATATGACCTCTTAGTTTCAAGATTATTGATATATTGTAAGGCAGTAAAAAAAGGGCTTGAATTCGCTAATATCTTGTCAAGAGTTTTGTGTTTACAAGTGATAGCCTCTCATTATTCAGGGGTATTGTCTCCAAAATTCATATTTTCGTGCACAACAATAGCTAGCATTTTTGCATACAGCTATTTCGAGAAAGGCTGTCGGGAAAAGTGCACGCGACAATCCTGAAAGGCATTGTGGGTGGTTTTGAGTTCTCTTTTTTTTTCAAAGAAATTTGAAAGAATTGGTACGAAAGGCCATGCAAATGTGTTTGCGAGTGATAAAGGAAAGCAACAAAAGTAGGTTCGACAGCTACAGTCGCCAGGAACCTTGTACTGATCATATCCCATATTACCTTTCGGGATTGTCGCGTGCACATTTTTTCCCGACAACCTTTCTCGAAATAGCTGTATGTCAAATGCATTGTTAGATACTGCTGTTCACGTGAAAATGAAACCTTGAGACAATACCCCTGAATAATCAGAGACTCTCACTTGTGAAGGCAAAATTTCCGACAAAATATTAGTGAATTGTAGCCCTTATTTTACTACCTTACAATATATCAATAATCTTGAAACTAAGAGGTCATATAAAAGGACGGTTTATCTCAAGACTCTTAAATTTTTTAAACAATTTATCGAGTGGTTTAAAAATTATTCGCTAATTTGTTAAAGTAGACCGAAATGTTTACATTACCGCTAATAAGAGCGCCCCAATACATACTAGTCAAATCCTTCTTTCTAGCAATCGGCTGGAGGTATCTCCATGATCTTTCACACACGTTTTAAAAAGATTGAAACTGCTATAAGGTGAAATTGCATGTCAAAAGCGCTTCGTTTAGTACAGATAACAGTCGAACATCAAGATTGTCCATTTTTTACCGTATTTCTAACCATAAAATATTCTTCCCAAAATATCTGGATAACACTCTTACAGATTTCGTTTAAACTTCACGAACATCGAGGCGGCTATTGTAGGAAAAAGCTCCAGTAAACGATTTTGGAAGTACAGTCCCAGTGCCGAGAAATACTGCTACAAGTAAAATAGGAAATGGCGTCATTTCGTTGCCATGACAACTACGATGTCATTGCAACCCTGATCATAACAAATTTTCATCTTTATCTAATACAACTGTGGTGTTAATTTTTCCAAATCTTTGTTTATGGCGACGTAGTTTACGCTCAAACGTGGGAGGTATTCACTCTAAAAAATTTTATCCAGCCACCTTAACAATTATTTTATTCAATAATTGCAACAGGGAAATTCATTGATTCTGCTTACCCTCCTCCCCCGCGACCTTCTGAACAACACTTTAACATCACGTTTTACTTAAACAGGAGGATGAAGTTTGTATTTGTGCTATCTCTGATGCTGTGTTACAGTTCAGCTCAGAGTGCTGATTCAAGTGAGTATATTGTATAGTCCAACCTATGTGAGTGACTACCTTTCGTAACCGACCGTCTAACCAAAACACCAAAACGTTCCAAGTGAAAGCCTTACAGTTGGTACCTCTATGAAACGACCACCTCCTGTAAGCGACTGCGACCACACTATTTGGGTCTGACGGACGGTTTAATGATTTCCATTGGTTTTAACCTCTTGTAAGCGACCACTTCATGGTCTTTCAAGCATTGTCTGATCTCTATTTTGGCAGTGTGAACTATGCTAATAGGAATATACGGAGAACTTTAGCAAAACAAGCTGTGTTCGGACATCTTCTTAAAGCGGCCATTGAGTCTGCATTTTTGTGCTCTCTTATGGGGGTTCGCATACATTTTTATCGCGCAGACTATGTGACCCCTATTTTTCTCCTATCCGTCCACCCAATCAGCTGACATGGAGAGAACAGAAACTAGTATTTAACTACCAAACGTCTGGCAACTTTTCTTCTTTAAGTTTTTTATGGCAAGTTTCGTGATCCACCTATCGTGTTCAAAAACTCAATCACCCTAGCTCAGATTTGATTTCAGGTATACATATCCTGTACTTTTGCGACATTGCATTTTTAAACCAGTGGGAAAATAGTGGGATTTAGGAAATTCGTTCAGTTTGTTATGCCATCTAAAAAAAGCAAAGAACGTAGAAAAAAGAACATTGAGGGCGAGACCCTTAAGTTCTCTATTGATTAAGAGAACACAAGTTTACGTGTAAAATTACAATCTGATTTTATAGGATGTGGTTCTGTGGTAAACAACGCCTTGACAAGTCCTGGATTTCCAACACAATACCCAAATAACATGCACTGTGTGTACAACGTTTCCATTCCATCCGGAAAGGCGCTGAAGATCAATTTTTCAACTTTTATCCTGGAACAACATTCTCGATGCCGGTAAGTAATTTAACAATAGACAGCTTTAGAGTCACGTTTACGGCAAACGGCAAACGTCAGATTCAAGTTGAGAATATCTCAAAATTAAAAAAAATAGCGGGTAAAAACAGCTCGAAGCAATTCTTATGGATAAAACTGGCGTGAAACAATTCACTTTTTTGTAGAAGTAATGAACAATTAGAAGAATTAAAGAGTATCTGCCAGTAAATTAGCGGTCTGGTCGATATGGCGTGAAAAATAGATTTCGCTCATTTCTTGTGCGTTGAAAGACTTTCATATACTTGCACTTAACGGCCCCAATCCGCTGGACTGTGTTTTAAAAACTCTCGAATTTTTGAGACAATTTTGGTTCACCCCATCCAACGTTGGCGTTGCGCGGCTTAATTCAAGGCTGAAAATCAACAAAACTTTGAATGTTGATTTGGAAAGAAATAGTAATTATTAGATAAAAGAAATAACACAAAAAGCCATCAAAATTCCTTTGACATAACACAGCGTTTTCTGCCAACATTAAGCACAATTTAAAGCCATAGCAAGATTTTAACGATCCCCTTCCCGCACTGATAGATCAAGTGGAGCCAAACCATCCCCCAAAGAAAGATGAAAAAATGAAATGTGAAAGATTACTTCCGAAAAAAATATAATTTCTACAATTTCTTCGATTCTTTCTTCTCCTAAAATACTGCCTAAACAGTGCATTCATTAGTCATTGACCAGGTGACCAAGTTTTTACTTCATCAGTACGGTATTTCTGTTGTTTTTAGCGCAGACAGCTCTCTCTCGAAATGTTCCTAGCGGCAGACAGCGACAAGAAACGGCTGTTTCGCAGCCTAATGAACAAACTTCAAACTATTATTTACAAATCGAATGTTCGTTGCTGGTGCTCGTAGATAGCGGGGAAAAGGTGTAGATACTTCTCACTGGGTAAACCGAGATCTGACCAACGATATGGTTTTCGATCTGGAAAATGCCATAGCTCTTTTAAAATCCAAATTAAGATTTCAAGCCTCAAGGCTTTTCCGTGAGTTGAGAGAGTGAATTCCCTTTTACAGGCCTTTGTCATCCGTAATGAGGTCGAAAGCAAAAGAACATAAAAGCCTCTTGTTGAACGTTAATTGGCATTTGTAGACGGCGGTAATTCGACTGCTCGGGAGTGACTCAAGTGCAACATAAAATGAAAGAATTTGATCGGCGGCTTGATATTCCGCAGAACCGTTTGGAGCTTCCTTAACTCCACCATAAAGCATGACTCGCAATTAGTTGAGGCAGGAGAACATAAAAGGCTTTTATGTTCTCTTGGCGGTTAGGGTTATCATGTCTAAGAATTTAACCACCCTTGAAAAGTAAAAAACATATTTTTTCCCTTCTAGGTATGATTATTTGAGCGTTGTAGATGATGAAAACAGAGCACTTGGTACATATTGTGGGCGCGAACTTAGTGGAAAGGTAGTTTTGGTAAATGGAAACTACGCATTAATAACATTCCACTCTGATTTTTCTGTACAAAACCTGGGATTCCAGCTCACGATGCTATTTACTGAAGATCAAAATGGTATGTTCAAATAAGAAGGGATTCTTTCATAAAAAGTAAATAAAACGAAATAAAATAAAATAAAGAATGTAAGTAAGTTGCCATTCAGGTAAGACGTTAAAGTTGATGTTTAGAGGTCAAGGTGAGGTGCGCGGCATTTTCAAGAAAACTGATAAACAAACAATACAACTAATATTGATAAAATAGGCAAAATTAGAGGTAATTTCAGCCCTTTTTTTGCTGTTAAGCAAACTCTAAGTCTGACTAGTTACACTTTACAATGTTTCATTCGGGGTTATGCTGTAGTGTAGTTCATTTGACCGTATTATACGTCTTTCTCCGAGAGAAAGTGAGAAAAATGTTCTTTCCAGTAGACTGCAAAAGAATCGGTCTTTTTCTCAAAATCAGTAAAGAAATCGGTAAAGCGTGGCGTAAGAGTCTTAAGCGCTAAGCGCGCTTGCCTCACACGCCTTACGGGCGTGTGAGGCGAGAGAAAAAAAACCTAGCATTAGCATCGCGTCTCCGTGAAATGTAGTATATAAAGTAGAGGATCAAAAATGAGTGGAAGTGGCAGTAGTACGCCAACAAAGCCTGTGCCTGCTCCTCGAAGGGGGAGTAAGCCGAAAGAGCCGAGGGCTTCGGATAAATTGTAGAATTTCAAAACACAGTTCGGCAATTTTATGAGTGGATGGATAAGCTCGGAAAATGTGTTTGTTGCGCCTACCAGAAAAGGAGAAACGTTACCAAAGTTGGCCAACCTACTGAAAAACGAACTTTTCGTTGTCCTCGAGGAAGGAGAATCTTTCTCCACGAGTTTGCTCTCCGGCGGAACAAAGGTTAGAAACTGGGCTGCGATGCTTTTCCCAAATTAGAGAAAAACTGAACACGCCAACTGACAATAAACAATTATTTCGATTGAAAAGAATGGGTAAATCCCCTTATTCCAATCCACTTCTTCGTGATTTGGCTCTGTAAATCACTATCCGTGAGAATTCGGTAAACATCCTGCTAAAAACGCTAACGAGCTGGACCCAGCGTGACAAAACCTTGCAGGAAAAAGTCACATTCATGGACACAAAGAAAATGGCTCAGAATTATTCAAATCCACGAGGCACTTTGGAGAAATTAAACAACCTAAAACCCTTAATCAGCCGTAATGAAGAACTTTACATTTCAAAAGAGGACAAAAAAGAAAATGCTCTTGCATCAGGGGGGGAAATCATGCCGATCAGAGAAAATCAATATGCATGTCACGACCTCTCAGTATGAAATATATTTAATAAGCGGCCAAAATTCACATTTGTCCAGTCAAAACGTTTTCCTCCAAAGCGTAATCTACTCGACAAAGAAAACAGTTATTTTGGCATGAGGTAAAAGTCGTGTGTTTTCTACCGATCCCCCTTTTTTACACAGGCGAGATAACAATGACTGTCGGCCGTTGTACGGAACTTGAAGAACTCTTTCAGCTCTTTGCATGAACAAACATCTGATAAATAAGGCTGTTGGTAGGATACAGAAAACATCCTTTCCCCTGAGCAGCATCTCCAAAGCTTCTCTCTGCTCCGATTTTAAAACAGATCATAGTTCTTACCCGAGCAAATCCAGGCAATCAACATCAAGTCAAGTCAAGTCAATCTTTATTTAAACACGGTAAAATCCATCAGGAATTTAAAAAAAATTAAAAATAACCTAACTATCCTAAACAAAATTCAAAACCTGACTACAACTAATCTAACTAAAACCTGTTTTTCATGAATGCCGTGTATAACATTAAAAGTGAACATTAACTAATCTTTTAAATTGACTAAGAGATTCGGCTTCTCTCACATGACAGGGTAGGCTGTTCCAGAGAACTGCTCCGCTATAAGTAAAGCTGTTTTTCATGAAATTAGTTCGCGGAAATGGGACAAATAGTTTGTTAACAGAGTCCCTCAGGGAGTAACGCGTTTCATTTCGTTTAACAAACTTAGATGATAAATATTCAGGAACAAGGCCATTTAAAGACTTGTATACCATTATGGATTTCTGTATTTGAAATTGAGTGCTCAAGTCTTTCCAATCGAGTTGTCTAATCAAACGGTTAGCATCAGCATCATAGCTAGAGAAGGTTAAAACGCGAGCGGCACGGTTCTGAAGCTTCTGTAGCCTGTCAAATAATGTTTTACCACAATTACCCCAGACAAGATTGCAATAATCGAAATGAGATTGAATTAGTGAGTTGTATATATAGTGAAGGGTAGGTGGAGGGACAAAAGGTCTAATTCTTTTTATTGCTCCAATTCCGGAAGCGGAATTCCGGAATCCGTCTTTTCCATAGCCTGCGAAGCGCCAGACGCATTTCCGGTCGTCGCTTCTCTCCCTCCGAAAAATAGCCGCTATTTTTCGGAGGGAGAGAAGCGACGACCGGAAATGCGTCTGGCGCTTCGCAGGCTATGGTACGGAAGACAGACGCACAGACGTACGGACAAGTGACTACCCAAATTTACATTTCTCGGATGGATAAAGAACCAAATTTTGTTAGCTATGAGGCTAAGCTCGCGCCGCCTCGCGCACCCGTGGAGCTCCGCCAAGACATATTTAAAGTAGAAAAAGGTAACAACTTTAGTTTACAATATTGTTTCTTCGATAACTGAACAACTCTATTAAGAGGCTGTTCGCTTTAGAATCGACCACTTGATTGGGACTAAAATTTCGGCAATTCTTCTTAAAACGCTAACGAGGCTTTGCCGTCTGGCATGCCGAGCAAGATGGCTTCTTAGAGTTGTCGCAATTTGTAATAATCATCGCGCACTTCGTAACATATGTCGCAATTTGCAATAAACTGTGTCGCACTTTGTAACAAAAAAGCTGTCCATCGCACTTTATAATAAACTTAGCTGTCGCATTTTGTAATAATTCCATCGCTCTTTGTAATAAACTTTAGTTATTTATGAGATTCGCTTTAATTTATGACTTTGATCTTCTTGAAGACATGAAACTTACTGTGACATGTCGGCTTATTTGTATCCAGTTACTGTTTTCATTATTGGAATATAAGCCGTTGTAAATTATTGTTTCTGCGTTGTTTACGTTTATTGCAGCTTTTTTTCGAGAGAGCATGACAGGCTTTAATAGAAATCTATTAAAAAAGCCTTGTGGAGGTTTCAGCAACTTAGAAAACCCATCAGCTAGCGGCGTTCATTAAATCATTTCAAATTATAAGAAACCATTAGGAAGTGAAGATGGTTAATGATGAGTAGCAGTGGTAATGCATTACAATATGGATTTGTTAACATAACAGCGTCAAAGTGTTTTAAATAGTAAAGTAATTAACCCTCGCACGTACAAAGGGGGGAGAGGGTGGATGGCTATCCCCCTCTGAGGTCTTTCTGTGTTTTTCCCTCCACCCCCTATTAGGTTTTTCTGTGCTTTTTCCTAGACGATTAGGAAAAAGGGAAGGGAGTGTCTGCTAAGTCAGTATAATTTTCCTTAACCTGTTCCAGGCTCCAAGATAGTCGGGTCCGCGGGGATTGAGAAAGCACGAAAATAAAACGGGGGTGGGGGGACTGGCGAGAGGAAGGGGGGCAGGGCCTGTAATCAGTTTTTGAAACGGCTTGTTCCGGTATACCAGATCCTGGTATACCTTCTGTTTGGTCAGATTTGACAGTTTATATTAACACTTCTCAAGAGAGTTCTAAAGTCATGACGTCATAAAAATTAAATTTTTGAAATAGTGGAATTTGTTAGGATATTTTGAAAGAACATCTGAAAGGCCTACTTGCCAAAAACTTGCCTTGTTGGACAAATTGCCTCGGAGATACTAGTCCCGTTTTGCTCTGATAACTCCACACAAATCTTTATATAAAAATTTACTCGGTACTTTATGTTATGAACTGAGTCTGAAATTTAGAAGGAGGTTCGCTTTTAACGAGGGTGCCGATTTAATCGGTGGTGAATGGTTGGTAAACTAGCGGATAAGGCATCTTGTCTATGACTAGAGAAACGCCGCAGACTCGAGTTATTAGTCTCGCTTGCGTAAGCAGCGAGACTCATAATTTGCAAGCCGTTTTTCTTCGTATTTAGGACACAAAAGGGCGTTGGGGTCCCAGGCGTTCCTAGCGGAGACCGTGAAAACTAGGAATAAGAATCGTTGCGTGACCGAAGCCACGCATGTTTTGCGAAGAAAGCTTAGGAAAGATTAATAAATGTTAATTAGAACTTTTCCGGAACGGGTCGGTCCGCGGATTCGCTTGAAAGAGTTGATAACTTTGGAACAAGTAAACACTTCAGTGGTCGAAAAAAAAAAATCTTAATTAGCAAAGACTAACTGGTCGGGTGTTGTAAACTTTTATCGTATGCAAATGAACCTTTTGATGAGCTTGCGGTTTATTTTCGACGATGATATAAATGACGTGCCATGTTCTCACCACAATGTAATTTCTCTCCAATCGAGGCCCTTGAATTTTCGTGTAATATACACTCGTACAGCCTGCTACCGCAGACGTATCTCCGGTCCTCTCTAACACGCTACTTAGCGACGGACCATTTAGTTTTTGTGGGGGGGTTGGGCGCTTACCAAAAAAACGTCCTACATAAGAAATTTAATGCTCAACAAAGTACCTGAAAAAAAAAATTCAAGCATGCGTGCTCGTTGAATTTGTAAATGAACAGGTATTTAAAAATACAAGAAAAATAGATCTACTTCATCTGGAGAGTCAGGAGCAGATATTTATAATCACCTAATCACCCCCCCAAGATTGCTCAAATAAATCTACAATGAAGACATTTTCAGGACCATTTTAATCAGTTCATGTTGAAAACAATAACTGAATTTATCGTCTATATCATTGTAGCACTATACTAACATTTCTTTTATCAGTGCAATGCATTTGCCACACACAGACACAAGTTGTATAGTAATATAATTATTACAATTATTGTCAAGACTCTTTCGGAGGTGGTCTTGTGGCAGGAACAGGGTAAAGAACTAAAAGAAAGCTACGAGGATGCATCATCACCATGCAAAACACTTACAAAATGTTGCAAGTGCAATGAA